AAAATCTGCTTCGACTAGGTGTTACAATTCTTTTGTCGTGGGAACAACCTTGTGAAGATTCGCAACTGCGTAGTTCGATAAGCATTCTGCCGAAGTTTGCTCAACTAAATCGCTCGTAAGCGGTCGAATATGTTGGCCCACAAATTTCCCCTGAGCCGAGAGACTCTTCGTATTTTCACAGAGCTCGAAAGCTCAATACGCCATTTTTAAATACCCCAATTTTAGGAAGGAAGAACACGAAAGATACTACTCTTTGTAACTGCACAATTTTGCCGCCATTTTTCTTGTTTTGACGTCTCCTTTGGCTTTCTGGGATAGTAAGGTACCAGGCCTTTCTCTGGCGGGGTTTTTTACGAAAATAGAAAGTTGCTTGTTCACTTCACTTCCACCGCCGCCACATTGAATTGTCTGTAATACGATATACCGCTGATATTTCGTAACGGACTCGAAATGTCCCTGATTTCTGGTGACGATAAGAGGCACAGATGGGCAGCCCGTGGTGACTCACGTGAGGATTTTCTTTAGGCATCAGAAAAAATATCTTGATCATTAAAATGATTTGAAGTCTTCGTTTAAGCGGAAATTATTTGTAATGGTTAAGGGCAGTGGTTTGACTGAGAAATTTATTAATAAAAATTTCAGAACTCAGTTTATATATAATGTTCCTTATATTTAACAATTATTCGCCTCAGGTTCGGTGAATATCGTCGAATAATCCCCGAGACGAAGTCTAGGGGATTATTCGACAATATCCACCGAACCTGAGGCGAATAACTGTTTTAGTATAATTTCAGAGCTGAAAAACAGAGAAATTTCAAAAACGCAACATTTTAGCAAGATTTATTAACATTTTATTTTAACATTTTCTATAAACCGCGTGGAGCGGTTTGTATTTAGTTCTTATTGACCGAGTGGGAGGTCTGTATGGGAGAATCTTGACTGAGGTCGCCAGTACAGACCTCACTGCGTTCGGTCTTTACCAGCGACCGAGGTCAAGATTCTCCCCTACAGATCGACCTAGCTCGGTTAATAAGATTTATTATATGGCTGTGTCTTATATGCTGATTTTTTATATTCTTTGTACCTTTTTTTCTCTAGACCGGTCTAGAGGCGGTCTAGATGGGAAATTCCAGACCGCTTTCAATATTGATTTCAGCCAATGAAACTCGTGAATTCGGTAGTTCCCAGTCCTTGTGAGACACAGCCATATTATAAAGCCTCATATAAGGAACCGCTCCACCAATCAGATTGCTGGAAACTCTTTGCTCAGCGCTGAAATTATACTAATGATATATACACATATATGGCCCGTACGTGTCTTAATTATTATCCAACTACAATCCGTAGAGTACAAATAACGCCGTAGAAGAGTACAAATATCACTTGGTATTTGTACTCCAGAGAACCGGTTGGACAGGTTTTCTTGCATCGCGCAAGTGAAGAATTAGATTGAAGCTACCAAAAAAAAAAATTGGCGGACAATTTTAATCATATTTCTGACGACGAAAAGTCGGAATGGCTGGCAAATATAGATTCAAGTTTAAGAAAAACAGTTAGACAACTAGGAAATTTCTTCATTTATTGAAGAAAATAGAAACAGCAACACGACAGCGCGCCAATTCCGTTTCGCTTCGCATACTTCTGTCACGCACTCCCCGGTGCACTCATTATTTGTATTTTGACTCGCCTTACGGGCTCGTCAAAATACGGCACAACTCGTAAAAATACTCAGCTATACTACACAGCAACGTCTAATTAGAGATATATATATTACGAGAGTCTCAATGACCGTTAACCGTGAGCTATAGAAAAGGCCAAAACATTTTAATTAGCAGCCATGCTTAAAAATTTAAGCATAAACATTTTCACCATTAGTCGTATAAAAAATACAAATGTAAAATGTTTTCTTTCTAGAATGTGTCATTTTGCGTCATTTTGGGTTAACGTTAGGCGTAAAATCATCTACCCATTGAGACTCTCAATTACATGTCTACAATACATCTCCAAAGCTCAGTTCAGTCATTCAGCCATAATTCAGGTTTATATAGATTCAAGGTGATGGAAAGAGACAAACTTAGTTTTTTTACATTATATTTATCATTAATAGCAGCTGTGCCTTTGCAACCTCTAACTTGAAATGACTAGTACGTCCTATGAAAAGGAATCACCCATATACTTTCCATCTGTTAATGCGTTTGTCTAGATTTTTTTTGGCCAATTCGTCACTCAAGTCACGCTCGATACATCCATTTGTCTCTTTAGATAGCACATAAACAATCAGAAATCTATACAAACAAAATTGAATGAAAAACAGGCAAAGCTGCACTGTCCCTATTAAAGATTTCACTGGAAACCCTGATATATCTCGTTAGTTGACCCATCTTAACCCGTTTTCTTTGTGCTGATTGCAAAATCTTCAGCTAAACAGCTGCTAGTGAATGTTAGAAGAAACATGACTATTGAATTCCACGCTTGAATGAAAGTTTAAGATATGGGCTTTCTTTCAAATTCTGCTCGAAAGCCGGGTGCATCGGGCTGGAAAGACTATTTCCGACAGCCTTTTACCTCAATTGCTTGCGAATAAAGGTAGTCGTCTAGCATTTGATCCAGAGACATGCTGAGTAAACTAAATGCTGCATAATAGCAGATTTTAAAGGAAAGGATGCATGGGAAATCGATTTATCGCTAATGATAAGGACTGCCGGCCCCTCAGATCAGTTTACGCACGAGTGAACGGACGTGCTTATTGAACTTTCGAGTAAAATTTTCTCTGCTCAATTGCTTTCCATGTATAAGAACAACAGGAAACAAAACTTCGGTTACTGATGTGCTTCGTTATCTGCTCAAATGCTAAACTATTTACGCAATAGACAGAACTTTCTATCAGTTTACCGGCTTAGTAACCCACGCAGGAAGTTGGGCAACACGGAGAAAAGTTGTAAAATTAAGAGCCAGAGGCGAGTGTGATTTGCCTACTTTTTCAAGCGTTTTCGAGTGCTATCGAGAATTACATAAAAAATCTTATTTACTTCGCGAAGAGATCCGAAGGTTGCCATCGAATATGAAGTTCAAGTCTTTGCTGCTAGCAATGCAAAGTTTAGACAACAGGAACAAACAGAAAACATAAAAAAAAATATCCCTGCACTCTAGTACGTGATTACCTTCAATGCTGATCTATACTACACCAACCCTTGTGCGAAAAGAACTTCTGCTTCCTTGCTTTGTGGTTATGCAGTAGTTAACCTCAGTCCATTATTGTAAATCAGTGACGCGAATTATGGTCGTTTGCTTGTCTCTCCTCGATTATAAATGCTTTATAGCAAAATCTTCCACAATTTGATTGTATTTTCAATGGAAAATGATAGGGGTTGCTGGGATACCTAAAAGAGATTTCTGTCAGTAAGAACTGATAAAAATGGCTGAAAATTAGTGGATCGAGTATCCCTTTATAACCACTGATCTTTTTGGTAAAGACAAGTTTTTTTGGCCTTTTTCAAATTTATGATATCACTTCAGAAATGTGAAAAATTCCCGCACAATTACTTCCGAGTTGTAGGAAGAATGATTTACTTAGTTTGTGTTTGAGTGAAAATTACAGATGTGCTCCAGAAACTTCTGCTGAAAAGCAGAGCATAAAGGTAAATACCCAAAATGTCTATTCTGAGGCAGAACCTTTCTTTGAGACATTTCAACCCTGAAATGGGGGTACTAATTTTACATCACAATGATATCTATCGAGCATATCTATCGAGCATAAGTTAACTTCCATTCAAATTTGCGAAAGAAAATAATAGATTTACTTTCAGTGGTAATATGTTTTTGTTCAGCCATTGTTTGGATATGCATAAAAAGGCGCGAGCAAAAAGAGAGAGTAACTTCTCTTTTGGTTTCCAAAGAGGCCTGAAATCACTGAGCTGATTGAAGATCGGAGCAACACATTTTCAAGTGAGTATAACGAGCCTCATAAAACAAACTTCTCTTAGCTAGATCTAGACACTGTGATCTTATCCAAAAAAGGTTTCTGTTATGAAAGATAAAAGAAAACATTTCTCTTGAAGAATTTTAACTCGAAATCAAATATCATCAGCGGAATTCTGAAAAGTTGATTTAGATTGACAATGAATCAGCGTGGCGGCGGAGTAAGTTGAGGACGATATTAGAGTGATATTTTTTCAGTCAGTGAAGCAGGTATACACCAAAGGTGGTCCCAAAAGAGCTCTACACACCTGATCGATGGCGCTTTCGAAGATTTATCCTTTTTTCGTAGGACACTGATGTTTACTTATTTACTTAAAGAGCTACTGTATACACGTGCCCATCTTGTAACATATTACTCCCATGAGCCAACTGTTCGTCATTTTCGATCCATGCCAATCTCCTGCTTGCATATGCTTAACCATCCTTGTTCTTTTTTGACTAATGTTTCTCTCTTACCGTCTCACAATGCGTGGTAAAGCCTTTTACATAAGATGATTTTGTTGCTCTCCACCCTTTAGGATCAATATCTTTGTTGTAAAGACCGAACCATGACAATAAACGCAGGCATTTTACTGCTTGTCCTTACCTGTTGCGCTACCTACGGTAAGTACTCCTTTTCTATTTATAGAAAAACTTAGTGTTGCACGACGTAAGTGTTTATTCTTTTACGTTCGCTCTGAGATCTGCATTTTCAAATACATTTGCAAAGTTAACCTTGGACCAACAAAGGTGAGGATGCTTGTTTGATCCCATAAAGGGCTTTTTGTCACCAAAAGAGAAGAACAGAATTAGTTAAACCTAAAACTATTTTGAGATTTTTCTAGTTTCATTCATACCCAGAAAAATTGTGTTTCTCGTGGAACTTTTTGCAGAAATTGCTGTTTGAGTAGAAAAGATATTTTCCTCTCTTTTTTAAAGGAATTATATTATTGTTTATTGTGGAACCAGAATTTGTGCTAGTTATTGCCGATACAAGTTATTTCGAAACCCCCCCAAGCCTCTTTGCCTTACTTTTCCGTGTAACTTCGTTACAAAAAGAAAAATCTAAGTCCCTTACAGAAGTGAGAAGAGCGTTCCTTTCTTAATAACAATATGAAGAGGTGTACTTTTATTCTCAGCCGTGGCAGCCGTCGTTCAAGAGGACAAGTGTTCGACGGAAAAGCCTTGCATCAACGGAGGCGCTTGCGTTAAAGAAGGTTTTTACGTATGCCTGTGCTCACAAAATTTTACAGGGGACCTATGCCAAACGAAAAAAGGTACCAGTATGAAAACAGATATATTTATTATGACTATTTAACGAAATGAAACGGGTTGGCTTTATTTCATAGTCATCGTCAAGTTGTAGAATTAAGATACTTTATCTATCAAGGTGCCTCTCTCGCCCATCCCCCCCAGGGTTAAATAAATGTCTCTGAAAAAGCCTTCCTTTTCGATTAACGTTATGCATAGAGAATGAAATAAACTCAGTCAGTGTGGGTAATTTGGATCGGTTGCCTACTGTGACGCCCTCTCCATTGAGTTCAACTTTAAGATTTGTTTTGAATAAAAAGTCTCATCGACTGCAATATTTTTTTCAGAAAATAAAGACGTTGAATCAGACACCCTAAACCGTCGACAGCTACTCAAACGTTTCCCAAATGCAGGTACAATGTCACCGCTTTTTTTGCATTTGTTTTACCTATCATTTTTCTAACTGCAAACTACACTTACAATAGTACGCATATACCTCCAAACTGTAAAGAACGAGGGAAATGCGTTTGTAATCTCCACCTTCCATGTTGTCGTGCGTCAATTCAGTAATTATAATAAATTACAGATGACGTCAAAATGAAGTAAGAGCAAAAGAGTGGCACACGAAGCGTTCGGTAAAATGGCAAAGATTTGTTTTATATAATAATGAAGCGAGAAATCTTTCCCCCAATAAATCACATGCAATAACCAATCAAAATGCATGTGTACTTACACTTATCATGTAATATCTCATAGAATATTGCGGTGCGAATGTACCACCTCTCTTCAGAAGAATTATTAATGGACAACATACCCTTCATCCTGCTAGCTGGCCCTGGCTAGTTTCATTGAGAACCCCCCAAGGTCATTTTTGCGGTGGCTCACTTATCAGTCCCGAATGGGTGGTTACAGCTGCTCACTGCTTTTTTGACCGCATTACTCATCAACCTTCAATAGATCAACGGATGCTGCAGGTAGTTTTGGGTAGGTATACACGTAATGGACTGTAAATCGAAATGCAACGTGTTTGGATGTTGGGCACTGGTTGCCCCCCCTAGCTTCACCCCCACTCTCCCTCTCAAAGTGATTTTTGTGTGTGTGAGTTCTTAAGCATTACAAGCACTCCAGGTAAGATTAAGAAGTTGCAATATAAATTGTGGGAAATATAATCACCAAGGGCGACAAGTCGATCAGAACAGCGGCTGCCAAAAAGTAGCTGAGATTTCTGCAGGAAACGAATTTCAACTAGATTCAATGCAACTGAATTACACAATGTACAACTAATTATACCGCCTCTATATTATTTCGGCCACTCAAAGGAAAGGCTTTACCTTGTCACACCTATGAAGTCAGATATGGATGTCGAAGACCTTATGGCAAAAGATGATAATAAAAAAACGGCAAAGGAATAGCACCATCGACTTTAAAGTTGTTTGCTCCATCCATAAAAGTCTTTCTTTTTTGTTGCGGAAGCTATGATATCTCGATTGTCCTGATAGACGAGCTTGAAATGTACTACGGAGGGAGAGCAACATCATCGGTTCACTCGGGATATGCTTTTCTTTATCAATTTTTCAGGTGCCAAGGGTACCAATATGCCTGGTATGCACTTTGGAGTTGCCCAGATAGTTATACATCCAGGGTACCGTCCATTACCGAGTCCAAATGACATTGCCCTTCTAAGGCTCGCTGGCAGGGTAGCCAATTTCCAATTCCCGGCCGTCTGCTTGCCTCACCAAGGAACACCAATCCCTACTGCTAATTGCATGGCTGCTGGTAAGCATATTTGATTAATATTTGATTAACACCAAAAACTGAAAAGAAAAAAAAAACCAGGGGGGAGAGGTACTCCTTCATGCTATAGAACACGAGATAAGCTTCGGATTGGGCTGGGGGGGGGCGAGTATTTGTATTTGTATTTAAAGATTCGTACAGTGTACAGGCGAGAGAACAATAGGACACGTAGTCCCTTACTAGGTTCACCCGCCTAAACAAATCTCAACCCACCCACCCCAGCTCAGGGGAGGACATCCATCACACGTGATCTCGTGCGTGAGAAATTAACGTCTCCCAMCCCCTGACCCTGCAGCAGACGGGACCTCCATTCATTCGTCCCTATCCGAGAAGACTAGAATATCTAACCATTTCTTGATGTTATAAAGAGGTAGCATATTCTTCTCAATCATTTTTAAGACCTTGAGTGTTGGTCAGGCCGGGGTCGAACCCTCGGCCTCCCGCACAACAGTCCAGCGCTCTATCCATTGAGCTAACTGGGAGGCGGTAAGGTAACAGGGAGGACTGGGGGGAAACTGGGCTTGAGTAAAGACTTTACCTCGACTCGCTATGATGATGAATATAGCCTAGGTATACTTGAAAAAAAAAACACTTGTCTGTTGCTAATACGTCTAACAGGAGTGCATTCTCTTAGAATTAAGGAAGTCATATATCACATGTAATGCTATCACGGGTTTTAGTGGGTGTTACTCGTACAAAAATATGTCTACATTACCAAGATCGACCTGCTCTATCTTTTTCTCTTTTGTTTTTTGTTTTGTTTTGTTTTTTTTGTTTTTTGATTGTGAACATTCCCTGATGCAAATGTGAAAGCACCGTCAAATATTTAAACTATTATCCATTCATCAGGTTGGGGACGTCATATACCTGGAATTCATCCGTTCCCGTTCACCCCAGCAGTTCTTCAACATGCACCAATGCCAATTCAGCACGTATTTAGATGTGGTGGCGTCGGCTTGATCAATCCTCGCCTTCAGTTGTGTGCAGGAGGAACAGGAACTAGTACATGCGAAGGCGACAGCGGCGGTCCTTTGATTTGTCAAGACAATGGATACTGGGTCCTCCAAGGGATCACCTCCTTTGGAGCCCCGTCGTGCAGTCCTCATGAATCCAGCGTGTACACTCGGGTCAATTCTTTCGTAAACTGGATCCAAGCAACCATTGCAGGTACAAAGTTTTAGCTAATGACCCACGATATGTTTGACCGAGTACGCCTGCTCGAGGCTTACATATGTCTTTTTGGCTTTCCCTTTCTTTTGGTTAGTTTCAACCAGTTTATAGCTGTGTAAAGACAATTTATCGAATTAGCTGATGAGTTTCTTGTTTCACTGTAGAGCGCTTTGTGTTGTAAAACAAGAAAGTAAAGAAATACAACAGCCATTATCTCCAGGGACAACTGAGATCTCGTAAGCTGATTTCAAATCAAAATTCGAATCCGAATTGAAGCACTAGATGTGATTAGTTGAGAAATGTGGAGCAAGTTTTCTGAATCAATTAAAGAGCGAAGCCGAGTTAGTTGAAAGCGACCCCGGGAGATTTGTAAAGGACATTTGATTTTCTTGAATCACAAGATATGCCTCAATCTCAACCTCAAGATGACATTTGCAGATTTCATAAACATCTTATTGAGGGCGCAGTGGAGAGAGGAGGCTCGTACTTGTCATGGCCGTACAAACGGAGCTTTCGTCGTTAAGTCATACATCAGACCAAAGAGTATCCAAACGAAAGAAAATAAAAGTAGATGGAGGTTATAAAAATTACTAGAGACTAGGGCCAGGTTGGTCAAAGCTGGGTTAAGATAACCCAGGGTAGCTTGGAAGTTGATTTCAGATCTGAAAGCCTTAAAAGAAAATTCAGTTTTACTATTTTTGTCTACAATTTGATGATTGGATGCTCTAAAAATAATAAGAATTAAACTATTCCAAAAAGGTTCTTGAATAGAGAAATGATGAAAACTGGATTAAAATTTAACCCTAAGTTAGCGCTAATCGGCCATTAAACCAGCTGGACCCATATCACTGACAGGTTTCTTTTCAACCTTCCTCTGTTAAATATTACCGCCTAGATTTTCTAAATTTCTTTGAAAGAGAAATCTTTCTCTTTCAAAACCAAAAAACACGACCGTTTTTGTTGGACATCACCCGTGCATAAACGCAAACTATGTGTACTGTACAACACAATGTGTATTGCGTACTATAAATGCAGGTCGTAGGTGTGCCTTGGTGAATGAAAACAATTACAACTATTTCTGTTCCGTCATAGGACCAATGCCAGGACCAGGCGTGCCTCCCTTTAATGTATTTCCACTTCATCCAATTCAAGGTAAAGTACTTCAACATAGGTGCTAGCTGGTGTGGGTATTGTACTATACTAAGGTGTGCCTTGATGGTTGAAATTAACTCACTGAGTTACTTGTATTCCGTTATAGGACCAATGCCAGGACCAGGTTTGCTGCCCCCCTACTAGGGGGCGGCAAACCTGTATTTCAACTCAGGCATTAGTTCTTTTTCACCCAGTCTCATTCATTCGGTCCTATAATTCTGTTTACCAGTTACACTGAGGACGTTGTGTTGAGAATATTCGATTTCCTACTGTGTTCATGATTCCGTCTTACATAGCATGTAATCGAATTTTATCTTCAATTCACTAAAGTATCTTTTTTGCAATGGGTAAGTCATTAGGTGCAGATACAAAATTCAAATCCTTTGAACACTAAGAGTGGCTTGTATCTAATTTCGCCTTACATTCTCACCCCTGAATCAAACATTAAGGTCATGAGAATAAAGAAAATGATCACCAACTAAAGAGGCTCTTGATCGTTAAACAAATTTTCCTTGTCAGCACCTTAAGAAATGTATGAGGAACAGTATGGAGAATATAGATACTGATGTTAGGGTGTACTGAAAAGGCGAAGCAAGTGGCTCATGATCACAACTGGTGAACAATGATAAAATGAAAAAGTCTGGTTATCAAGTGAAAGTGGTTGCTTATTCTTTGTATTTAAAGCACAGTGTTCTGAGGCTTGAAAAAAATGCAAACAAACGGAAAAAAAGTCAAATAAGAACACACTAGCAACGTTGAAAACACAAGCATTTTTCAAACTCTGCAGTTTTTTATATTTGCACCTCATCAAACAGATAAATGAGTAATGCAATATTTGTAGTGAATGATTATTACCATGGTTTTCCTCGTCTGCTTTTCTAACTGTCCTGAACGAATTACTTCTATTTATGTTGAACTTTTACCATGAACTAACCCATTTTAACTAATTTTCAGGTCGCTGATCTGCCAAGGGAGCGCACAAGTTGTCCATGGAGCAGCCTATTTGTAGACGGTGGTGATCATTGTATCGAGTTTACCGCACGTAACAGTTAATAAATGATGGCATTACTCCACGAGCTAATCAAGAACTCTTTGTTTCCCCTAGATTCTCTAAAGCTGACATATAGGCACAACTAGTCTCTCCTCAGGAAGAATTTTTGAAACGCTTTGAACCCTTCCTTCCGCAGTTTCCTATCGAATATTTGCGCAATATGAAAGTAGGTGCTGCAAGTAACCATGAATTCTTGCGTTTCTTTTTCATAAGAAGTTTCCTCAAAATTCCTCAAAATTTTCCCTAGAATGTGAAACCATGATTATGTGCCCTTAATGAGCCAGTATGAGCCTAATATACGAGACTCCAGCTCGGAATATGAAGATGCGCACACAAAAAAGTCCTGAACGCCTTTTTTCGCTTACGGCATTTTGCGACGCAAAAGTTTTGGAGACCGTTTGTGACAATTTTCCTTAAGCTGTTTCTGGGGTGAGACTATTTACAAATTCTGCTTAAAATAAAATCAACAACTCCGTTTATATATTTTGCACCCTTTAGCCGAATGAAATGGTCCTTGATCGGTTTGCTTGATAAGTATTTCAACTCTTCGTCTCCCATTCTGTTAGAGACTCCAACTGCTATGACTTCAATTCCTCTTCTTTTGATTTCATCAGCTCTCATTTTAACTACCTCGGGTCCGATGAAACTAAATCCATCCGTAATGAAAATAACAACTTATTTTACTCCTAAAAAGAAACAAAACGATTGGAAAGTGAAATAAAATTGCGACTTTTTCACGAAACATTCCCGGGGGTTACTCGATATACTCCTGGGTGGGGAGGTGCGGCGCGGCCCCTCATACCCTGACCCTGTTTAAGACAAATATCGCTGATTTTCCCCCCCGGTTTAAGACAGAATTCCGATTTTTTTATACCCTGTTTAAGACATTAAATGTGCCTGGTATCAATGCCAAAATCAACGGAATTCAATATTAATTAAAATTAGAGCTTGTAAAAAATTTTGCAGTTTCTCTTCCAAGAAAAGATATTCTGTTTAAGACAAAAATTGATAAATCGTTACCCTGATTAAGACAAAAAATGATAAATTCGATACCCTGTTTAAGACAAAAATCTCGAAAAACATACCCTGGCTGACCGCACGTCCCCATTAAGCTCTTATAAGGGAGTACTCCCCCCCCCCCGGGGAAACGTTACAGTGCACATTTAATTCTCCTCAATCAGGTAATGCTTGCCGGAGAGGGAGCTTCCTAACCAGAGAATTAAAAAAATTATAATTTCTTGGTAATGGACAACCCTCCGCTCAACGTAACAAACAGAAATCTTGTAACTCGTGTCTAATATTAAAGTTTCTTGAAAGTTTCCCCCTCCACCCCAAAGCAATGTTACTTGGTGGTTCCCATTTTTTAACACTAGGAAAACTGAAATTGGGGAGAGCACTACAGAAAAAAATTCAAAAAAGTAGTAGAGGGTAAAATTAACAATCAACTTTGCGTCTGAAAATTTAATATCTCAGAGGTCTTTTTTCTTCCATCCTTTTCATTCTTTCAGAATAGCTGCCGTATGCATTATTTTGTGATATTTATAAGTACTGTATACGCACAATTAACACTGACACTTCAACAAGAGACATTTGCAATGATCTAATCTTTAGCTTGGTCTTACTCGTCTTCTTTGGGACTTGTCATTGGAGATTATAAGTGTACCTCAACATTTCTTAGATGGTAAGCACCCAAACAGGTTCCACAACAGACATTACGCGCTGCTTAAATCAAAAGGAGTTAAATATATAACTTCTCAACATGAGAGATGTCTTTTTTCTCTTTGTTGTCTTGTATAAATCGAGTTTTCAAGTCTTGGTTCGGTGTCTTTGCTCAACGTAAAAGAAAAAAAAGATAACCCTCTGCAGTTGACAAAGAAGTTAATTTACCATTTCTTTCGGTGAAGTAGAACGATTTTCATCACAAACTACAAATTAAGACGTCATAGATGTCCAATTTTGAAATCTTCATTTTTAAAAGAATTTAAGATGTTTTGGGTCCGCTGAAGGTTATTTATTAAATGTTTGTTTTTTAATTCTCTTGAGGAGAAATAATACCCACAACTGGACCGTCATAAGCGAATTGGGAATTCCTAAAATGTTTCTGTTTAATTGAGAGTATTTGACCAGGAGACAAAGAAAAAGGAACATCGTGGAAACAAGAATACCAGCATGATTCTTATGTATAGTAAAGCAAAACGACCTAGGATACCTCTAGTGTAGAACTTTCCAGCTTAAAAAAAAAATTCCTTCTTACTCTGGCTTCTTTGCTTAAGTTTAGGATAAAAGAAGTTGGGAAGGAAGTAGACCGCGTGGCAGGCGGTTTTGTGTGCACTTAGCATTCTTTCCAAGCTTCCCCAAATCATTTACCCAATGCAACTCAAGTCTCGCCCAGCTCAGAAGGCGAACATGTCTCTCATGGCTTCGCCCTTCATCGATTAAGCGAATAGGCCATTTTCAGTGAATCAAAATTCAAACTTGGCTCCGAGGCTTGAGGGAATAAAAACAAAAGAACTCACATCAAGGTTGAGGGATGAACGATTAATCTCTTTTGTTTCATTCCCGCCTTGCCTTGGAGCTATGTTAGAATTTTTAGACATCGAAAATGACCTATTGGCAAAAATACTCACCAGGCTCTTCGATTCTCGATCCAGACTTTCGTACAACCACTTCAGTGTTGATTGCTTGCAGAGTTTTCGCCGTCCCTGTAGCGGCCTCTTCATAGAAACTGCTGTTGACAATGTTTTCCAGTGCGTGATAGTTTCTTTGGTCCCTAAACCTTGATAATATCTTAATAGACTGTGAGTACGCCACGAGTGACACACGGACTCTGTTTCTAGATATAGCGATGCGGCTTGTAAGGGCCTTGGGAAAGTCCTTAGAAATGTTGAAACTTTCCTCACATATATACGCAGAGGCATCAAGAATGATAGCCAAGTCAATCTTTTTTGTTGCAAATTCCTGTTTGTCTTGTTATAAATTGAGATTAATCTACTTTAGAAGTTTGCATAGCGTTTTTGACTAAATATAGACCCCTTAACACTGACCCGATCTGAGAAACTTGACAACCACTCATTTATTTTTCCTTAGTTTGGCTTATCGAATAGCTTATCTTGTTCTTCGTAGATTTTCCTCTTTCATCTAGTTTAACGTAATTCTTCTTCCTCTAAATGTGTTGGCCCAGCTCGTATACATCGAGTTTAGATACACGCTTGGCCACCTTGTGGTGAACTGCAGGTGTTCCTAACAGCTGGTTTTTGGTTTTTAGCAGTTAGGAGCTAACCTTACACCTTCCCCCTCACACGTGCACGACATCGCATGCAATTATTTGAAAAATCCACTATCATTTGAAGTCTTCCTTCGTTCTGTTGATTTCCAACATCTTAAGAAAGATGAAACATGAAGTGGCTGATAGTTAAACAACTTTCTACCAAAGGACAGAAAGGACTCAAAAGTTGATAACGTTTTACACATTTCAACGAATTAATCGTTATGATTCCGTAAAACGTTCAATAAAGACGTTTGTACAACTACTAGTAACAGTTTGTTTAGAAGAGCTCTATTGTACTACATATTACTAAGCCTGATCAACCGAAGCCAAGGGGTCAATTAAGATTTAAAGAACAAAATATTTTGGAACAAATTTCATCTGTCTTTTCACAGTATTTTTTAACAACCGTCGAAAGCTCAACCCTTCTTTGGACTTAATTGAAGTTGCTTTGCCTAACCTATGCTTTCCTTTTTACCTGCATTTTGACAACCTGTAGATATTGAGGTATGTGATGTAGCAATTTTAGTTTTTAATAACAGCTACCTCTTGACATATTCCTTTCTAGTTCCCAAATCATTCGACAGTTCGGCTTTAGAAGAAAATTATTGAAATCACGCCTTCTCTAAGTTCATTACTTTTTCCAGCTCGGCAATGGCAATAAAATCAAAGATGAACCATCTTACCTTGTGCAAATAGAAACCTCATTGCTAGCACCAAAACGATGAAAATGACCATCTTCACGACCATGCAAATGTTGAAATCTATTGCTTCCATTCATTGGCGTTTAATAGCCCTTATTCCGCCCTTATTCCAGTTCTGCGTGTGCGGTGTAGTTGGACAGCGGCTTCCTGTTTTAGTACACACAAAAGCGAGGCTATCGGATCAAGCTTTCTCGAAGATTACAGAAGTTGTGAAGTCGACTTTAGCATGAGCGTCGAAAATGTTGCATTATTTTCAAAATAAGCATTTTTATCTGCCGAAGAGAAAGTGAAAATATTAAGCGGTAAGTGTCCTGGTGATGCTACAAAGGAAAGGTTGAATTAATGGCTTTCGTATCGTAAAGGAACTGCCGAAGATGGAAGTGTTGGATCGACACTGAGCTTCGAAACCAGTGCTAGTTCAAAGGTGAGTTTATAATATTTATTTAAATCTTGGCATTTTTACCCTGATGATAAATCGTTACAGAATCGTAATGTCTGTGCACCTTTTCTTTAAAATAAGGTTATATGCTACATCAAGAACGGATGGGATGACGATTTTCTTAAAAAGTGGCAGCACTTGGCATGTAAACAAGTGAGTGAAGCGAGCAAAACTACTAGTACCACCGCAGCTGTTACAAGCAGTGGTCTTCCTGATTCTGTGGATTCGAGTGGATCTTTGAGCACGATTGGATCTGTGTTTTCGATGCTCTTCAGTTGCTCATCGATGACATTAATGTCGACATTCGTATCCTTACTCACATTGAGACATCTCGCAGTCAGTTCTCTTCTTTGTTGTTGTTGTTGCTGCTTGTCGATCATAAGGTATTTTCCTCCGTGGCTTTTCAGCGGAGAAAATAAACTTCGTAGGTATAGCGTCCGGTTTGAGTCGCATTCGCTGTTCTCCAAGGGACTTTACAAAGCACTCAGGCTCAAAATGCTTGCTACATAGGTAGGAATTTATGTTTAACTGAGTGTTCTCCCTTCGGATTTTTACCAGCCATTTCTAGAGAAG